CCCAATAGTTTTTTTGCCCGAAAGATGCTCATAGTCGACACATTTAAATTTAAATGGAACCAAAAGCATAAAATTCACACAAATTGAATGATGTGAATTAATCTTACTGAAAAGCAACTATTTAAAATTAATATTTAACCACTTTCTTAACTTGAGAAAAGAACAATGTGCCTACAATGCTACATTATAAATCCTACGGCAGGGCTCCATTGATGAGTCATCAACGATTTATATTTCAATGCATATATGGCCAAAGAGAGCGCTACATAGATCTGAAACACGTGGAAAAAATCACACATACCGGCTAAATTGGTTAGATGCCCAATAGTTTCTTTTTCCCCAGGAGATGCTCATAGTTGACACATTTAAATTTAAATGAAATCAAAACATAAACTTCAAGCAAATTGGATGGTGTGATTTGTTTGATTGAATAGCAGATGTTCAAAATTAATAATTGGCCACTTTTTTTTTCAATATGTGAAAAGACCAATCTGCCTACAATACTCTATTATAAATTCTACGATAGAGTTCCATTGATTAGTCCTCGACATTGGCCATTGCTATCCTAAGAGAGAGATGGATATTTCAGTGCATGTATGGCCCAAGAGAACACAACATGGGCCCGGAACATGCAGAAAAAACAATCATGCATACCGGCTAAATTGGTTAGGTGCCCGCAACTTTTTTGCCCGGGAGATGCTAATAGTTGACAAATTTAAATTAGAATGGAATCAAAGCATAAGCTTCACACCAATTGGATGGGTGAATTAATCCAATTGAAAAGCATATATTTGAAATTAATAATAAGCACTTTTTCATGTAAAAGACCATTGTGCCTACAATGCTACTCCAATGATTAGTCATTGACATTGGTCGTTTGCTATCATGTGTGTGTGTGAGAGAGAGAGAGAGAGTGAGAAAGAGAGAGATGGAGGGAGGGGGAGAGAGAGGTGGGGAGAGGGAGATATTTTGATATTTCACTGCATGTGTGGCCCAAAGAGAGCTTGACACGGGTCTGAAACACCTGGAAAAAATATTAATCACACGTGCCAGCTAAATTGGTTAGATGCCAATAGTTTTTTTAGGAGATGCCCATAGTTGACACACGTAGATTTAAATGGAATCATAGCATAAACTTCATGCAAATGGATGGCAATAATTAATCTAATTGAAAAACATATATTCAAAATTAATATAAACATTTGCAGGGTCAAAATTAATAATTAACCACTTTTTAATGTGTGAAAAGAAAAACATACCTAAAATGCTAAATTATAAATCCTACGGTAGAGCTCCATCAATTAGTCATCGACATATGACATTGCTATCCTGGGAAAGGGACATGTAGAGAGATTGATTGATTGATTGATTGATTGATATTTTAGTACATGTATGGCTAAAAAGAGCGTGACAAGGGTCTAGAATACATGAAGAAAAAGAATCACGCATACCGGCTAAATTGGTTAGATGCCCATAGTTTTTTATTTTGCCCGGAAGATGCTCATAGTTAACACATTTAAAATTAAATGGAATCAAAGCATAAACTTCACGCAAATTGGACGGCGTGAATTACTTTGATTGAAAAGCATATTTTCAAAATTAATAATTAACCTTTTTTAATGTGTGAAAAGACCAATGTGGTACAATGCAACGTTATTAAAAATCCTATAGTAGAGCTCCACTGATTAGTCATCCATGTTTGGCCTTTGCCATCTTACGAGCGCACAAAAGAGAGCGCGTGCACCAGGAAACCTGTATACAATTCAGAGAGGGCGCCACATATATATTAATGTGGCCCTCCTCTTCTCCGGACAAATATGAATTTAAATGGAATTAAAGAATAAGATTCACACAAATTGAATGGTGCAAATAGCGTCGTCAGAGGATGTGTGGAGGTGTGTCTTCGTCGGATCTCATGGGATTCGGTTGGTACTGATCTTCGATGGATCTATTTGGATCCAATTTTTGTTCGTCTCTGTTCGTGTGGTTTCAGGCTTGATTTTTCCAATCTACAACTCTCTTCATCGGCGATGGTTGCTGCTCTGGTGTGCTGGTCCTTTGAGGCCTTAGCATGACGACTTTCCGACTGTCTACTACAACAAGGTTTGCCCGGCTTCGATGATGGAGGGGCGATGACGATGGCGTGCCTTCGGCTCGCTCCAGTGCTTGTAGTCGTCGCTAGGTGGTCCATAGATCTGGTTGTAATTTTTATTATCTCTTATGTTCTCTGTACTGTCATGGTTGATGAATAGATTGGAAATTTCTCTCGCAAAAAAAGAAAAAGAAAAGCATGCATCCAACATTAATAATTAAACACTTTTTAATATGTGAAAAAGACCAATGTGCCTACAGTGCTACTTCACTTATTAGTAGAGATTGATATTTCACTGCATGTATGCCCAAAGAGAGTTTGACATGGGTCTGAAACATGCGCGAAAAAAAAAGAATCACCCATGCCGACTAAATTGGTTAGATGCCATATCTTTTTTTTCCTCGGAGAAGCTTATACTTGACACACTTAAAATTCAAATGGAATCGTAGCATAAACTTCATGCAAATGGATGGCGTGAATTAATATGATTGAAAAGCATATATTCAAAATTAATATAAAAAATTGCAGGGTCAACATTAATAATTAACCACTTCTTTTAACGTGTGAAAGGAAAAATGTATCTACAATGCTAAATTATAAATCCTAAGGTAGAGCTCCATTGATTAGTCGTCGACATTGGCCATTCCTATCCACAGAGAGAGATTGATTGATATTTCAGTACATGTATGGCCAAAAAGAGCGCAACCAAGGTATGAAACACATGGAAAGAAAAGAATCACGCATACCAGCTAGATTGGATGGATGCCCATAGCTTTTTTTTCTCGGAAGATGCTCGTAGTTGACACATTAAAATTTAATAAATGGAATCAAAGCATAAACTGTTAGAAATTTAGGATTTTCGGTCTACCCCTAATTCCTCTGCGTTTATCCGTGGTACCGCTCACAATTCGCATATATGAGGCTAGAGAGTAGGCACCTTCTTATATTGTCGTTCCAAAGAGTCCACCTCTTATACAAATATAAGATTCCTAGTCTTTTCCACTAGTTTCCGGGATAGAGTCCAGATCAAACTACCAACCACGATCATATTTGTCTGTTTAACGGATTCTATCCGTTTTGTCCCCGGAGCACGCGCTTGTGAGCAACGCGTCATAATAGAGTGTAAATTCCTCTAATTATGTAGATCAACATTAAGGCTGTAATCTAATTATATGATCTAGCTCCTTCCAATCATCAGTGTACCCGGGTAGTCTTTCCAATATAAATAATATATTGTATTCCACCGATAATCGACCAGCTTTCTTAAGTATATATAAAACTTAAGTATGTTCCAGCAAGTAATAATTCCATGCTGAACATGTGAAACAATTCCATGTACAAATACATGTATAATTCCATAATGAGATATTCCGAATATTTAACAATTTCAGGTTAATTGAATATAGTTGCAGGACACGTAATTCTAACATAAACTTCATGCAAATTTGATGGCCTAAATTAATATGACTAAAAGCATATTCTCATAAAAGTTGGCATAATAAACGCAGGAACTCTTTCCAGCCCCCGCCTCCTCTTCCAAGAAAAGCTAGGGTTCGTGCCTCTCGCCGGCTTCGCTGCAGGTCCGCCTCGTCTCCGATGGCCCTAGGGCCATGGGGACGCGGTGGATCCTGGCAAGGGCCGACGGGAGGGTTCCGTTGTTAGTGGTTCCTTCAAGATTTGTTAGGGTTTATGTCCTACTCAGGAAGACGAGACGGTGGCGACGGCTCTCTGAAGATGGAATAAAGGTCTCCCCACCTAGTCCCCGTTCCGGTAGTGCGTCTAGTATCATTGGTGGGCGTGTGGAGGTGTGTCTCCGGCGGATTTATCCTCGGTGGATTTGCTCGGATCTGGTTGTGGTTCGTCTATATTTGTGCGTCTTCAGGTTGGATCCTTTCGATCTACGTTATTCTTCATCAGCGACGGTTGTTGTTCTGGTGCGTTGGTCTTACGGGGCCTTAGCACGACGACTTCCCGACTGTCTACTACAACAAGTTGTGCCCGACTCCGGCGAGGGAGGGGTGATGAGGCAGCACGTCTTCACCTCGTTTCAGTGATTGTAGTCGTCGTTAGGTGGTCTACGGATCTGGATGTAACTTTTATTATTTCTAGTGTTCGTTGTACTGCCATGATAGAAGATGAATAGATTAAAAGTTTTCTCGAAAAAAAGCATATTCTCATAATAATAATATTAATAATTAACTATTTTTTAATGTGTGAAAAGACCAATGTACCTACAGTGCTACTCTACATTATAAATCCTACGGCAGAGCTCCATCGATTATTAGTCAATCCAAATTGGCCATTGCCATCCTACGCGCGCGCGAGAGAGCGCATGCACCAGGAAAACCACAATTCAGAGAGGGCGCCACGGATATATCAATGTCGTCTTCCTCTCCTGCGGACGCGGCGGCGCCGTACGTTGTCGATGACTTCGGGAGCGCACTTCAGGTGCTCAGCGACGGCACCGTCGCCCGCTCCCGGCCGCCACCACTCCAACCAGCTGACGTGAACGACGGCCGCGTCCAGTGGAAGGACGCCGTGTACGACGCCGGCCGCGGCCTCGGGCTGCGCATGTACAGGCCGCACCGTCGTGACGTGGCCGACGACGGAGAGGGCGGGAAGCACCCCGTGCTTGTGTACTTTCACGGCGGCGGCTTCTGCCTCGGCTCCTACTCCTTGCCTAAGGACCACGCCGTCTGCCTCCGCCTGGCCGCCGAGCTTCCCGCCGTCGTGCTCTCCTTCGACTACCGCCTCGCGCCAGAGCACCGCCTCCCCGCCGCTCACGAGGACGCCGCCGCGGCCCTCCTATGGCTCCGCGACCAGCTCACCTCCGGCTCCGACGACTCGTGGCTCGCCGGCTCGGCCGACTCCCGCCGGGTGTTCGTCTCGGGCGTGTCCGCCGGCGGCAGCCTGGCGCACCACATGGCCGTCCGGTTCGGCACGTCGGGGCTCGAGCCGGCCGCGAGCATCTCCGGGTACATCCTCCTCATGCCGGGGCTGTTCTCGGCTGAGCCGACGCAGTCAGAGCTGGACACGCCGGACACCGCATGGCTGACGCGGGAGATGTTCGACCGGTTCTTCCGGCTCGGGATGCCCGCCGGAGCGAGCAGGGACCACCCGCTGGTGAACCCGTTTGGGCCGGGCAGCCCGAGCTTGGAGCCAACGTGCGTGGGCCGCATGCTCGTCGTCGCCGCGGAGCGCGACCTCTTCAGGGACAGGAACGTGGAGTACGCGGAGCGGATGAAGGCCATGGGGAAGGACGTGGAGCTCGCCGTGTTCGCCGGCCAGGAGCACGGGTTTTTCGGCGCGGATCCTGCTTCGGAGGCCGACAGGGAGCTGGTGCGAGTCATCAGCCGTTTCGTTGAGCGGGATGGAGACGGTCCGGCTTGAGTGCTCGTCTGTACAGGGACACATGAGCCCGCAGTTTGTTCCCGCATTTCTCTCAAACCTTTGCATGTGGTGAGAGGTTGAGTGACTTGAGCATAGCTCACGTTGCCATGGCGAATAAAAACGGCATAGTTCACGTTACCTTTGGGCAAGGAATAATTGGATTAAGGTCTTGATTGCTAGGGCATACAAAAGCTGGTGAAACTAATCCACATTTGCTAAATGTCAGTCGTCTGACTTCGGTTTGGGGTCAAGGAGGCCGAAGGAAGGAAGGAGCTCGCTGGCAGGCTGCCCCATCATCTATCTTAAGGAAGGGGTGGGGGCGAAAGAACGGCGGTGGTGGAGGGAGGCAGGACGGCGGTGGTTTGTAACTTCGTCGAAGAAAAAACCCGGACATGGACGCGGCTAGAGAGATGGCCAGGGGGCGACAGCAAGACCGACGGTGGGAGGCGGTTTTAGGGAGGGCGAGGCGGCGATGTTGCATGGGAGCGCCGGCGGCCACAGGTGGTGGTCGTAGGCGGTTCAGCCAGCGGCCCGTGCGACGGTCTGGGGAAGAAGAAGGGCCAAGCGCCATAGGATCTTCATCGAACAGTCCTAGTAGTCAGGCGACTTACATGTAGCCATGCCCAAACTAATATAGCTCTTTAAAGAGTTTCTCCAGGAAGCTTTATTAGCATTCATCTTTTTCATATTTTTTTATGATAAGGCTTACTTTATTAATTAAATAATAGTTACATCATCCGTCAACATTTTTATGATGAACTTAGGGAGGGCATCAACCCAAAGAGAAGAGTTGTTTTCACGTCCCCATCTAGCCAACTCATGAGCTACATAATTTGTCTCTCTACTACAATGCTCAATATTAACCCTCCCGAAACCTAGTAAAATACTCCGACAATCATCAAGAACCGGCGCCGCCACCATAGAATACCCTTCGTTGCAGTTTATAGCATCCACCACCGTGCAGTTATCCGATCTGACCACCAGATTAGAGCATACCATATTTCTTGCTAGCTTCTGCCCCTCAAGCAAGGCAGCTGCTTCTGCTATGAACACATCAGCTACATGTTTCAGTCTTGCTGTAGATGCCGTTATAAAACTTCCCCGATGATCACGGATCACAACTCCACATGAGCATGCATAGTCACCCTCGGTAAACGATGCATCAACATTTAAAATTTGTTGTCCAGAGAGAAACACCGGCCACCTGTTGATTTTAGGCGTGTTTTTTATCTCCGCTGCACAAGCAAAATTCAGAGCTAAAGCAAGGGCCGCCGGCGCAATTCTTTCTGGAGACAAAATGTCTTCTCCTTGAACGAATTGCCGTTGTTGCCACCAAAAGTACCAACACACTGTAGATATGAGCTCCGGCAACTCCAACGATCCAGAATACAATAGCCGACAAGATAAGTCACATAGGATAAACTCCATGAGCTCTGCTCCCGACGGATCAATCATACTAGCGAAATTGATATCTGGTGCGATCCTGAGAGCATCCCAAACTGCTTTTGATCTAGTACAATTAAACAACATATGAAAAATGTCTTCCGCCCTGGCTTGACAGAAAGGGCATTGAGAAACCCTTCCGACGTGGCCATTCATAAGAACACTGTAGCACGGGATGGCGTTGTGCAGACACCTCTATATGAAAATTTTCACTTTGGCTGGTACTTTCATATTCCATAAATTCTTCCAAACTGGATGGGGCGCTGTGGAGTAACGAGCCAACCCACTCTCCTCTGGATCATAGTTTGCTTCCCATTGCTTGTAATAAGTCGAACATACCAAAAAAACTCCACTCTTCGTGAGATGACATGCGACATAATCCTTCGTCTCATGAAATAATGCAATCTGTAGTATGCGATCCGCATCAATTGGCCAGAAATTTTCCCAAACTAGCATCTCATCCCACTCTCCCATTATGGGATCAATTAGCTCTCCAACTTTTGTGAGTACTTGGTTACCCCGAACTGTAATAATTTTCTTTGAAGTACTGTTCGGAATCCAGCAATCTGTCCAAATATTGATCTTTTCTCCATTACCTACTCTCCAAATACATCCCTTCTTGAATGTTTGGATGCCGGACCAAATACTCTGCCATACATAAGATGACCCCTTCTTCAGTTGATAATTTAAGATGTCTCCTATGGGGTAATACCTTGCTCTTAACATTTGTGTACACAAAGAACCATAGTTATCAATAAGTCTCCAACATTGCTTGGCCAACATTGCCAAGTTGAAACTCTGGATCTCAGAAAACGTTTCCGTTTGTATGCACATCCCACACAGTGAATCTCATACAAACGTTTCCATTCGTATCTATATCCCACACAATTTGCTGTATAGCTTTGTGTGCGATAGGTGTAATGATCACACATGCTCTGCCTCCATTAACTGTTTGCCTTATTCAAATATATCACACACGATTCGATGAAGAAAACTGTATGACATTGGGTTATCCGTCACACACGCTTTTATTGATAGAACCATTTCTAAAAGTTCCATGACCCATTTAGCAGGTTTATTAGTTTACAATTAATAATTCTAGTATTACACAAATTCACATTTCATATGTTGTTTGCCAATTTCATATCAGGCACATAAATATATTTTAACATCACAGTACGACAACTACATGAAAACACCACAGTACATCATATAGCTAGTTCATCTTCATAAGCACAATATTAGAAGAATATATTCATTTCCCTAATTGACAGATGCATGATCAGCCATGTTCGTCTTCTCGACCTCTACTTTAAGTTCAGTAAGAACCTGTTTTGCACTGACCAACTGGGAAAGTGCATCCTCCTTCGCCAACATAATTTTAGCAAAGTCTAACAAAAAAAATCTGAGCTCATTCTTCATCTTCCTCTTTTTCTCTCGTATCTTGAAATATTTTTCAGCATTTACAACACTTTCTCTAAGCTATCTATGTTCTCTTTCTCACACATGCTCCAGAGCTTTGCTAGGCACATCTTCAAAGACTATGGCCACTCTTGATCAACCCACTCCAGATAAGACACTTATGTTCATCCTACAATATTTAAAACTAAATCAGTAACAATTATAGGGAAAATGAGTTTCTAACAACATAGAAAATCAGCACATACATATTTTGAAAAACTGAAGAAACACATTAATTATGGCATATCTTCTAAAAAAGATCAATGTGCAAATGAATTAATTGTTACTAAGACAACAAAAAAATTCAGAAACATCACAAGTTATAATTGACTGCAACAACGCTACAAGTTCTTAGTCCTGTACTATAAATAACAAATTGAACATTTTATGAGGAAGCTAAATATAACTGCAACATCATAGCGGCAGTGTTTGGATGACGTCAAATTGATACTAACAGGTGTGCATGCACAAATTTAGTAACATGGAACTAATAGCACTAAGGTCGTCCACTATGTATGCCAAAATCGGTACCAAAACAACTGTTGCTACATTTGGCACCGGTGTCCTGCACTGCTGGGCCGATGCCAGAGGAAAAATTCAAGGAACCGGACTCCGGAGCACCTAGTTGCTCCGGTGCCTAGTTCCTTCATGCCATAAAGTTTTAGTAGTTTACTGCTTGGCTGCTCGGATGTGTGGAGCAAAATTGGCTGCACAAACTGCTGGAGCAGTGCCAAATAATTTTCTCAAGGCACCGCTGGTGAGATGATAACATTTTTAGATACTAGGTAGAAACTGTGACATTGTCTTAATCACATCCAGAATAACATAACACAGTGATAGTGTCTGAATCACATCTAACAAATGATTTGTAACAACGAAAGTGGGCCTAACTTTCTCTACACATGCCAGAAACTTCCTCCCAATGTCCACAGATTCAAACGCAACTAACTTCATGCATGGGGATTGATGGTGACAATGAGCAGGTAGATCTTCAGCCACCCACTCCATTCATCGCAAGTGATAGTCCTAGGGAGCTACAAGAGGAAGAAATGACTCAAATCGGTCGCCGGTTAAAATCCTTTATTCCAAATCATAACCCGAGAGAGAGAGAGAGAGGAGAGAGGCATACCCAGTTGGTGAAAGAGTCGTTGTCATAGCAGGAACCGCTGGAGAGGTCATTGAAGAATACCATGGCGACCGCGGTGGTCGAATGCGAGACGACGAGAGCGAGGAAGCGACTATAGCTTGGGAACGAAGGAGGAAACAAGGGAAATGTGACTTGTGGTCGGGGAGAAAAGCGGGTGGGAATGGGGAGAGTTAGATATTTTATCGGTAGGCCAAAAAATTCGAAAGGTGAGGGGAAATTTGCGCACGGTGCCGCCGGACACCATTCACTTTGAACAAATGTGTGCATCGCAAACGATTCTTCTGCTTTACGCTCATGCGATGAGTTTGATCATTCAAACTTTGGTGGAAATTTCCCTGGGTACTATGCTCTTCCATGTCATTGCGTAATTTAACATCGCTTGCTAATTTGGGTACACAAAAGAGCCTACATCACACAGACTACACTTATTGAATCGAGCAATTTAAGTAATTAAACAGAGCCAGTTGAGCTAAACATTGCTCTAACAAAAGGCCAGCGTTATAAACAAAGGCTAAGTGCGCATAATTTTAACAAAGTCGCCAATGCGCCGCCTTATGCCTCGTCGGTGTAAGATGAGACGTCGATGACTTGTCCTGGTGACATGTCGTCGTTGGTGGACTCCGTGTCCCCCAGGCTGAAGTCGACCGCGTCATCGTCCTCGTCCTCATCCTCGGTGCCACCCTCAAGGTTGTAGTACTCGTAGTAGTGGCTACGCCAGAGCTCGCGTTGGTACTCCACCGCCGATTCCTCGACGGACATGCTCTTCTCTACCTCCTCCTTAGCCACGCATAGCTAGGTCTATGCGTAGATTCTATGTGTATATTCTATACACGAGTAGAACACAAAGTAGTTGTGGGCGATGATTTGTTCAATTTGCTTACTATTACTTGTCTTATCTTGATTCAGCGGCATTGTGGGATGAAGGGACCCGGACCGGCCTTACACGTAC